TTTTTTTTTTTTTTGTTTTTTTTTTACGAGATGGAATTTTCATATTTTTTTTTTCATTTTTTATAAAAATTTAAAAATATATTAATTTCAAATAATTTTTTATTAATTTTTAAGAGAAAATAGATATATATAATCAAGGGATATTACCAAGATTACTATGGTAAAAGATATTTCTTCTATTTAATATTTGATAAGTCATTTTTTTAAAATATTATTTATTTATGTAAATTATGACATCATTTTTTCTCAATTTGACGTTGCCGCCTAGACCAAACGGCATTTGCCAAAACACAAAACGACAGGCGGCGGGGATATCCACGGCCGTAGCCGGCGAAGGCAAATAACGATTCACCAAATTCATACACCACGAAACAAAAAGGGCATACTTGTAAAAAACGGAAAAAGACAGGGACAAAGGAGTAATTTCACAAAGACGTAACGAACTGTGGTGCTTAAAAAGGGGCAGAGGAGAAGAAGCGGAGAAGAGAAAGAAAGATGGAAGAAGAAGAAGAAGGAGAAGTGAAGCTGTTCAGAACGTGGTCGAGTCCATTCGCTCTGAGAATAGTATGGGCGTTGAAGTTGAAAGGAATAGAATACGACACCGTTTATGAAGATCTGGCCAACAAGAGTTCGTCGCTTTTGGAGTACAATCCGATCCACAAGAAGGTTCCGGTGCTCGTCCATGGCGGAAAGCCGATCGCCGAATCGCTCGTCATCCTTGAATACATCGACGAAATATGGAACCAAAATCCGTTGCTGCCTCAAGATCCTTACCAGAGAGCCGTTGCTCGCTTTTGGGCCAAATTTGGGGACGAGAAGGTAATTCTACTGACATATATATATATATATATTACTAAATTAATAAAAATACCCATAATATATTTTTTACTTTATCTGTAAAAATATTTCAATATTCTTAAAACCGTTAATATTTCAAAATACTAAAAAAAAATTAAAATATATTTTTTTTGAAAACTTCAAAAAATACCATAACTATATGGACAAAATTATTAGTATGATACCGTTCAAAGCAACGTTAATACCTTTAAATTTTAAGAAAAATGTTTTTTTTTTTAATAGGGATAGAAATCATTTATTTACTATCAGAATAGCCAATTTCTTTAAATATTATAGGGTAGAAAAAGCTATTTTGAAAATAAATGGTCTGTTTGAGTGTTAAGATTTATTATATTCATATTTGAAAATATTCGTAAATGAAACAATTTCTCATTTTTATTAAAAGTTTCGATACTAAAATGAAATTTTTAAAAAAAAATAGTGATGGAAGATGGAAATTAAGAGGGTATCCCGAGTAAAAAAAAGAGAATAATTGAATCATAAGTAGAGTAGATAATAGAATGAAAATCGAGGAGAAAGATGATATATGAGATATAGATAAACAGTTTCGATCTGCATACTAACGATAAAAAAAAATATTATAAAAAAGCTTTAAAATATTAACACAACTTCTGATAGTTCATAGGTATTTTCGAAACTAGATACTACCGCACTTCTGTCCCTATACTAATAGTAAGAGTATTTTTTAACTTTTTTTAAAAAAAAAAAAAATTAAATAATATTTCGAAAGATGGTATTTTCTCTCTCCCTCTATTTCAAAATTTCTCTTTCGAAAATTTCTCTGTTATAGTTTTCTAAAACCTTCTTCTTAAACTGAGGCTAGAAGCTCGAGCATACGTCACTTAGTCATAGGCGACGTAAGAATAAATTGGCTTAGCTCATTTGTCATTGGGGAGTGAATGCGATTAGAAATATAGAATTTATAGATATTTTTTTAATAAATTTAGCGTACTTAGTTTTACCTTTTAAATTTAATTTTTAAAATTTTTAATGTGTAGGTTTGGGAGTCAATGAAGAGAGTGTTTATGAACGAAGGGAAGTTGAAAGAGGAAGGGATAGAAGAAGCGAAGGAGAGTTTGAAGCATTTGGAAGAAGAGTTAAAGGCGAGGGGAAAGAGGTTCTTTGGCGGGGAAGTGATAGGGTTTGTGGATATTGCGCTTGGGTGGCTTGCAAACTTACCAAGTGTGTTGGAGGAAGTGATTGGACTTAGCCTCATAACTCAACAAACCTTCCCCCTCTTGTCTAAATGGACTCACGAATTTGCTAATGCCCCAATCATCAATCAACATTGGCCTCCTAAACAACAACTTGTCACCAAGTTCAAAGCTATGCATCAAATTTTCATGAATAAACAAGCATGAGCGTAATTGATCTCCTCCGATCTCCGATAAACCTCACAGGATAGGAGAAGCAGTGATTGGAGATTCCCTTGAATGGAGTCGAATGAGGGTAGATCTTAACGTTTGGTTTAAAGGGTAGTGTTATCCCGACCCCTACTGTCATCATGTCTTTACAGTAATGTTTGTGATATTTTCATTTCGCCGTTGAAGAAGCTATCTCTTGCCTTGTTTTTTTCGGTAAGGAATTTGGTTTTATGGTTTCTAGAATATTCATTCTGCCTGTTAAAACTAGGAGAGTTCAGTGGTTGAGTTTAATTAGGTTCAGACATTTTTATACCGAACTGAATTGTTCAAGGAGTAAAATTTTCAACCTAAGTAACACTTATTGACTGATCAACATAACCCTATCCTATCATAAAATATTGGGTTGGGTTGGGTTGGTCCAGGTTGTTCGGGTCGTTGATTCAAATTTGTAAGACCCAAAGAGACATCAGAAGGAATGAAAGAAAGACCAACCTTTAGAATTTGATTCATAGGCTAGCATGAGAAGGCATAAGCAGTCGGAGAAATCTGCACGAATGCACACCACTGCCCGTAGATATTGCCTGCTTTGGTCCGTTACGCATTGTCGTCAGCCTCACGATTTTAAAACGCATCTGTTAAGAAGAAGTTTCCACAAATTTATAAGAAATGATTCGTTCCTCTCTCCAACCAATATGAGATTTCTCAGTTGTAGTGCATGATAAATCATTCGAAAAATGATAAGCATTATATGTGCATTCTCGTAATCCTACCTACTTTGGGCAGCTCAATCACTTACTTTAAAACACTTCAACCGAGCTGAATCTGCTCGCTTTTAGTTATCTTCGACGAAAATAATAAGGAAAAGATAGCACGGACTTACAATGTTTACGTACATGTCAATGATCGATGAGCATAACTCGGCAAAAGTCGACCTTCTTGGATTTGCACCGAACTTGAACAAAGATCAAACAATTCATTAGGGTATTCACCAGTGATCTCCACAACTACAGGTTCCATCCTTGAAAAGATGAAACCGATTGGCATCTCTCACAAGTATTTCTCTTTGCATTATCTTAGTTATGTACTTGGTTACAGTATGACAATCTCCACATACTCTAAGGTTTTTCATTACCAGCAAAGGGCTCCCTGGTTTTGTATTCAACAACCCGAACGCTATAGCGAGTCTTTCGCTGTGTCCACATAGCATGTCTCTCTTATCGTCTTCTTCGACGTCGTGCAGAGCAAATTGCAGGTCTGCAACGTAACCTTCCTTGGCCATTAACCCCGTGAGATACTCGAGAAAATCTCTAACCTTATCGTATTGTTCAAACGACTTATCACTAGTTCGAAAAACATAAACTCTTTTCTGAATCTCAATCCAGCTACTTCCAGGCTCTTTCTTCAGCCCTTTATTTTTCATGGTATTTCTTACCAATCTCACCTGATCCCACTTCCCTAACGTAGCATAAACATTTGAAACAAGCACATAATACCCAGTATTGTCTGAGTTCAATTGAAGAATTTGGTTCGATACTCTTTGAGCAATATCCGTGTGCCCACTCACTCGACAGGCGCTAAGTAGAGCTCCCCACAAACTTGCATCTGGTTTCATTGGCATTGACAGGATAAACTCCTCTGCTCGAGCTAATAAACCAGATCGAGCCAGAAGATCGACGACACAAGCATAATGTTCCATCCGAGGCTCAATATTGTAGTCGGTTTTCATTCGATCGAAGAATGCGAGCCCGTCTTTGACCATTCCAGAATGACTAAAAGCAAAAATGAGAGCAATGAAGGCAACTGAATCTGGAATAACACCACTTGACTCCATATCCTGAAAAGCCTTCAATGCTTTCTTGCCCTCGCCATACATTCCAAATGCAGAGATCAATGCAGTCCATGTCACTACATCTTTTTCTTTCATATAGTTGAACACTTTGGTACAGTTCTCTAAACTACCACATTTGGAGTACATTTCAATCAGGGCATTCCCAATTGGGACATCTAATTCCAATCCCAACTTGAAAATACAGCAATGAATCTCTTTACCTTGTCGCCGTGCTGCAAGCAACGAACACATGGGCAAGATACCGAGTATGGTGGCCTCGTCTGGCATCAACCCTTCAGTCCTCATTTCGCTAATTGCTTGATATCCTACAGTGCAATCATCGAAATGAACACTTGAAGCAATAAGGGTATTCCATGATATAATGTCACGAGCTCTCATATACGAAAACGCCTTCAATAAGTCGTCCATTCCACCACATTTAGCGTACATATCTAGAAGAGCATTGCCAATGATGAGTTCATCTTCAAATCCAGATTTTATCACATCACAATGGATTCCTCTCCCCTGGCTTATATCAGCTAACTGAGAACATAGAGATAATAGCAGAACAAAAGTGACAGAATCTGGCTTGCTTTCCCTTTTCATTATCTTAAAATTTTCCATCCCCTCTTTGTAATAGCCCCTTTGAGTGTAGCCGTTGATTAATGAGTTCCATGTCACAGAATCCTTGCGGTTCATTGTGTCAAAGACTTCCTGTGCAGCCAAAAGATCCCCACATTTAGCATACATATCTATAAGGATATTACAAGCTACAGTATCACATTCATACCCTCTCCCAATTAAGTACTTATGAACATACTTTCCAATCCTCAGATCTCCCAAGTGCCCACAGGCGCGAATGGTCGATGTAACCGACAACACATCCGGAGCGAATTCATCTATCATCGCCATAAATAGCTTCACGGATTCTTCGTGCCACCCCAGTTGGGAGTATCCACAAATCATGGTATTCCAAGTAACTGAGTCCTTCGCAGCCATCTCGGTAAATACCCGACCTGTTTCTCTCGGTCTCTCGAACTTGAAATACATGGAAAGAAGTCCATTACCTGTAACAATATCGCCACCAATTCCAATCTTCTCAATCACCCCATGAATCTTCAGACCTTCTTCAACGGCAGTTAAGCTTCCACAAGCGAGTAGAACACTGGACATAGTGAAACAATCAGGCACCATCCCAATAATTCTGGACTTGTGATACATGTCCAGAGCCTCCTCCCAAAACCCATTCGAACAATACCCTGAAATTAGACTATTCCATGATACACTATCTCGGTCAGACATTTCATCAAACATATAGCGTGCATTCTCAAGATCTCCAAATCTACAATACATATCAATCAATGCGTTGCCAATATACAGATCCGATTCAAACCCCATTTCCTCAACATGTTCATGAACAACGCGACCCATTTTCAAGTCCAAAAGCCGGGCACATGAATTGATAACAGAAGGAAAAGTATAAGCATCGGGTTGGAGCTTTGTTTCACGCATCTCAGTGTAATATCCAAGTGCTTGTGTGAAGAGACCGTTGCGAGTGAGAGCACGTATAATCGAATTCCATTGATAGACATTGCGAGTTGGAGAAACAGTGCGAAAAACTGAAACAGAAGAAATCGGGTCTTTAAGCTGAGCGTATTTGCTTATGAGTTTGCCGGAAAAAACGACGGAGAGGCCCAATCCTGAAATGATGATCCAGGAATGAACAGCGCGAAGCTGGGAAGTGTTTTTGGCAGAAGAGAGAGCTTTAAGTAGTGAAGAACGAAGCAGTTCTTGGGCAGTTTCCGGTGAACTATTGAAATTGGAACGGAATTTTGGCGGCTTCATCGGCGGCAGAATTCGACATTAGAAACACCAAGGGAGTTTGTTGTGGTTAGTTTTTTCTAAGCCGATTTTTTTTTTTTTTCATTTTTAAATATATATACACACATTTAAAAAGAAAATTCTATTCAAATAATTTTTTAATGCTCATATTCTATTTTTTCAATATAAATTCTATTAAAAAAACAGAAAACATTTAATAAATTCAATTAAAATTAGCAAAAAAATATAATATAATTTCTATAAACTCAAACTCATTATTACAACCTACTCTTTTTACCCACAAAAAAGTATATATAATAAATTGATTTTGTATTTTAGTTTTGATATACATATATATTTATATTTATATATAAAAAGTGAGACAGGACAATGATTTGAATGGGTTGGAGGCGTGAAAAATATGATCCCGTCTCGACCCCATTTAGCTAACAAAGAGAAATTTCTCTTTAAATGAGTTTCTTGTCCGATTCAGGGTAAGGCCCAGACTTCACAGGTTAAATGAATATCTCGACTCACGCATGCAAAATTACATGAACTTACCTAAAAATGTCCACCGAAAAAAATAATTAATAAATATATCCAAAACATTAGCGTCTCAAAGACTTTATACTAAACATCGTTAATATGAGAATTGCTTGATAAATAAGGTATCGATTACCGTCTCAAGGATATTAACCACCCTATGCCCATAATTATTGAACGAAAAAAAGGTGTGCGAGTAGGCCTTATTAATCAAATTTTAGAAATTATATTAATTAATTAATTTTATATTATTTATTATAAAATTAGTTATGCTTACGTCATAAGAGGCAAGCTTTATGGACTTGTATCTAGAGGAATAACAAGTTGTAGGCAAACATGAGAGTGGGGGAAGGCTGAAACTCATTCCCATCCAACCAAACCAAAATAACTCCAAACGAAATTCTACATCTATTAACCAAACGAAATCAACACGAAACAATTCGAGTATGATTCATAGCTTCTATTAACAAAACCCGGTAACGAGACAAATCGGCAGAAGGGTTCAGAACTGATGATAAACAAGCCAGCAGAGAATTTTCTTACCCGAATTCGATGACTAATAATCCCAATTCAGTTCTCGAGGATCGGAAAAGCTAAACATGTTCGAGGGAATGTTTGGATCGGGAATGCTCCAAAAAACCTGGAGAATATCAGGGAACAACGTGAAAGAGACAAGTTGATATCTTACAATCTACAGTAAAGGGAATGGAAATCCCGGTTAGATACACTACAGCCACTCAGTAGAGATTCATAGGATGTCAATGCGATGGAAATTTTTTCCCTATGAATAAACAGCAATCGCATGTCAGTTTCTAGGTACCATACTAATCACACAATGATATAATTATGTGGAATGGCATACCGCAAATCGTTTTCGTGTGACTACACTCTTGGTTTATGTTATCTGAAATCAGTAATCATGACTCACGACTGCACGCTCATCCGAATTGCAAGTGCAAGAAGCTCTATTACACATGTATTTATCATAAAGTCACCTCTTCGCCCTGCTGGCCACGTTCACGAGCAATGGAAGCAGAGAGAATGCCAAGATCGCGATTTAGGAATGTCAATGCAGACTCGCACTCGGATATTATTCTTGTCACAGAAGATGGCTCTCCAGCAATCGTTTCAGACGATCCAATGGCCAGTGCTGCATGAGAATCTCTAAGATTCCTCAAGTTGCCCAAGAACTGCCATAACAAGAATATGAAATGAAAAATCGAGTTTCAAAACGATGATATAAGAGGAAAGCAGACCGACTTACGAAAAAACAAGGCCCTTTCGTTGGAATTTTTTGTTTAAAAAGAAGCAACAGAACTTCGTGCCTTTCCCTTGATGCAAAATTATCCAAATTCTTTTGTAATTTTATCTGATTTTCTCTTTGTGATATCACAATAATAAATTCAAATGGGTTCGTAGCAACAATAATGAAGAACATAAATGAATCAGCAACATAAAAAAAAAAAAGAAAAGAAGAAGAAGTTAGCCAAAGGATACCTTTAGTAGCATATTGTATGCTTCCAACAATCGGTTGGCAGCTGGCCCAAAGCCATGAAGCTGTGGAACCTCCATCATGTGTGTCCATGGACGAATTTCCTAACGTAAAAGTGATAATGAGAGTCAATAGCAAAAATGAGCGTAGTTCCAACTCAAAGCTATCAAAATACTTTCAAGTGTTTTATAAAGAAAAACATTCACTTAGGCTACCATATACTAGTTTAAACAGGACCACATTCAGCTATTAAAAACGTAGATTATATAGCAAATAGTTATTCTTCAAGGTGAATCTTGACAGAATTATCAAAACATGAAACAGAGTGCTTTTGGTCATAGATCGCCAATATTTTCATAGTTGGTGCATAAGATCCCACATCGGTTGGAGAGAGGAACGAAACATTCTTTATAAGGGTGTGGAAACCTCTCCCTAGCAGACGTGTTTTAAAACCGTGAGGTTGACGGCGATACGTAACGGGCCAAAGCCTAGTAGCAGTGGGTTTGACTTGTTACAAATGGTATCAGAGCCAGTCACCAAACGGTGCGAGGCATTGGTCGGAGTAAGGCTAGACCCTCTCCATAGTAGACGCGTTTTAAAACTGTGAGGGTGATGACAATACGTAACGGGTCAAAGTGGACAATATCTGCTAGCGATGGCCTGGGTTGTTACAAAGACTCCGACAAAAATAGAAGATGATATCAGATAAGATTCCACTAAATTAAGACATACCTTGGTGTAAATAATGTTGAAAGATCTTGCTGTTTCAAGAAAAGATTCCAGGTGTGAACGCAATTGAGACTCGACTTCGGTATATTCCTCATCTGGGTTGTAAGCATGCTACAAAAGTAACATAATACTAATCACAAGGCATCAAAAGGAACAACATTAAAAATAAATCTTTCTAGATTTAATACTATACCACAAAACTACCACCTCAAATCTAAATCAAAATTAAAACATAATATTTTTGTCAGCAATAACCAATCTATCATATTGCAGACTGGAAAGATCAGAGCAGCAAAAAGACAGAAAGAAGTTGGGGAAAAAGAGGCAATAACTCACATTCACGATCGCTCGACAAACCAAAAAACTGAAAAACTGGTTAAAAAACCACCTGACCAACTATATTTTGGTCAAATTGACAATCGATTACATAAGTGGCCATATTTTTCCTAATTCGTTTTTATTTATTAAGACGTGCTGAAAATTAAGTGATGTTTCTTGAACAAAATATTGCATCTGCAGAGCAGTTCCCATATGAGAATGACAGCAGGGCCCATTTTTCCTTAAGGTGAGAAAATTAGACAGAAAGTAGCAAAAACCTTTGATGCTAAATCATCAACTTTCTGTTGAAGATTCAAAAGTATCTTCGATTGTTCTGCAAGCTTGGTTTCCAGCTCAGAAACATCTGGCCTGGAAAAAAAAGAAAAATAACTCAATTAGGCAACAAAATGCTATAACATGAGATCAAATAGATTAAAAGATTGACCTCTGAGATTCTACACCAAAATTATGGTATATCATATGATAATAACTAGCAATTTGGAGTTAAAACTAAAATGTTTTAATCAATAAGAGCTTAAACTAGCAGAACAGCATTTGCAAGCACTATATTTCATATAATCAAGTTGAGACAGCTTCCTCAAAAGAGGGAGGTATTAAAATTCCCTAAACCAGATGAACATGGATCATTAGAACAGTGTACGGATATGACAGTAGTAGGCAGGTTTACATATTGTTTATGATAAGAAAAAATAATGAAATTGGCATATTAACAAAATGAACCAAAATAAAGAAATGGGCAGATCTTAGCTCAAACTGACAATGTTTGGAGTATTTTGAACTATCAGAAGAAGAGAGAGGCAGGTCTCTACTTAGCGTTTGGATATGCAAGAAGAATTAACAGTAACAGTTCAAGCCCACCGCTAGCAGATATTGTCTTCTTTGGACTTTCCCTTCCAGCTTCCCCCTCAAGATTTTAAAACATGTATGGTAGGGAGTGGTTTTCACACCCTTATAAGAAATGTTTCGTTCTCCACTACAACCAATGTGGGATCTCATAATTCACCCCCTTGGGCGCCCGGCGTCCTCGCTGGCACACCATTCAGAACCTAGCTCTGATACCATTTGTAACAGCCCAAGCCCAAGCCCACCGCTAGTAGATATTGTCCTCTTTGGGCTTTTTCTTTCGGGCTTTCCCTCAAGGTTTTAAAACGCGTTTGCTAGAGAGAGGTTTCCACATCCTTATAAGTAATGTTTTGTTCCCCTTTCCAACCAACGTGGGATCTCACATTATCAGTACAAAGAAAAAAAATCAGTAGACATAGATTGATGTAGGAGAATCATTACAATGGATATATAGACTGAATTTGAACATCAGCAGGAAACAATTTGCATTCTTCTGAGAATATTTGAGCCTGTTTCTCGGCAATAGAGTCAATGAGTTGTATGTCTTTGGCAACTTGCTCATCAACACTGCAGAAAAATTAATGAAAAAACATTGATTTCCAATATTCTTGCTCATTTATCAGGGGATTGAATAATATTACCAATACAAGCTAAACAAATGGCAACCTCCAATCTGGATTATCTGCATAGATGCTTGCCTCAACAAGATCAACAATAAGACGGATCATTTCAGTTCGCTCCTCATAACTTCCCCGTCCCTGTAAAATACAAGAAGAGTTAACAAGATGTCAGCCACATTTATACAGTGAAGATGTTTACAAAATCTGTAATCAACCGGATGCAGAACGCTTAAAGCTTTATAAATTACACAATTGTGGCTCCGAGAACTCAGACAGAAGACAATGACATTAGTGTTGTTGCATACAGACGGATAGCTTCAATTTATTTTACTCATAGAAATAGTACAAGCAATTCAGAAAACGAACTTGGATAACTTCAGTATCGATACTGGTTGTAATGCCCAGAAACTTTGCAATTTCGGCTAAATCTGCAGAATAGAGCCATTGGTTATAACATGGTAATTGATCTAATGATGGAGAAAAAATCAGTACCACAATTTAAATGTGAACAACAGCATGAAAACAAAGCAACAACATATCATACATCATGTGGGGCGGCAAGATAAAAGAGAAATCACTGAACGATTAAGCAAGAAAACCTTGTGGCTTTGGCAGTAGATACACGGGAATTTTAACATGCTGAAGAAAAATTGGATCATTTTTTAAGCCATTAACAGCCTAATTTCAGAAAAAGGGCAGCCCGATCCATGAAACTAATCACTCTAAAGCATAAAGGTTAACGAGCATCCATGTAATTTGATTGACCAGTGGCACAAATTTGAATTGATCCTAAATAGTATCCGTGCAATCATATAATCGTGAAGCATGAAGTGAGAAAACTAACACTGAATGCGACCAGTCTCTTCATCGCGATCGATAGCATCTCCTTGGATATTTTGTTGCGAGAACGGCGACTTATCACCCAACAAACTACAATTTAACAACGCAATGCAATAAGCCATCAAACATCCGATTATCTGGTGAATGACTAACCTCCAAAATCAAAGGCTTAGAAATGCAATTCGAGTAGTTTGAAGTAGTTAATTGAAAGATTTGCAGAAAGTAATCAACAATACCGGAAGAAGAGCCACTCGAGAAGAGCATAGCGCTCCATGCCGGCGAAAAGGAGGGACTGAGCAGGAGCATTGGCTCTAGGGTAATTGAGCGTTGATAGCTTCTTCTGAATCTCTTCCATTTGCCTCGCTGCCATCTTCGCCTTCGTTCGTCTGTCACTCTACTTTTTGAAATTCTGGATATCAATGACCGCTCTCTCTCTCTCCTTAGACCATCCCTCTCAGATCGGAGCAGAATCAAACGGGACCGAACCGTCGACGGATTCTTCAGCCACTCTGTGACGCTAAGATCTAACCCGCTGACCGTGCGTGGTTTTTTTTCGCTAAATTATTCAAATAATAATAATAATAATTAAATTAAATTAAATTTTGTATTTTATATATATATATATATATATGAACTTTTAAAAATATATTTAAAAAAATAGTGATACCATTTATTTTGAATTTATTTCAAAAATATCCTCCACTTTTTTAAAAAAATTAAAAAATATTGTTACTACTGTATTAAATATTTATAAAATTTTAAAACCGGTATTAGCATCGTCTTTATAAAAAAAATATATTAAAAAAATTCTTACTCGTGTTTGTTACATTCTAAGCTATCTGACATCAATACTCAAACTCTCGGCATAAAACAAAGGAAAGATGAAACCTTGAAAACTAAGAAAGTGATGTGACAAACAATGAAACATACCTAGTCAACCGAAAAGTCAAAATCTACACCCTATTAGCCACGGCCCGAGAAGTCAAATCAAAAGTCGAGACTACCCCCACTTTGATTGAGTTGAATATAAAACCTAACCACTGACAACACACTAGGAGCTCAAATTTAAGGTAGAGAAGTTTATCGTGGATTTGTTGTAGAATATTAAACGAAATTCACAAGAGAACGGAACCAATGAAACCCAACAACTCGCTTTCTTGCTACAAAACATGTGTGAAGAGCGAGTTGACGAGCATACACGACTCGTTTTAACAGTGAGGCTTTGTAAGAAGAGGGCTACACTAACGAAACGACTTTGATAGTCGTTGTGAATGGACTCAAAGTCATATCCAGTGGTAGCAAGAGCTTTATGATCGATTCAACTCGAGTCTAAGAAATTTCGTTCATGATTTTATATGTTATCGAAGCTTCCCCGAAAATAATATCACTCTTTGACGTTTAAACCAATAACGAGCTAAATTTGAGATTGAATTGTGTACCTTAAACGACAGTGATCTCAGTAGTCGATACCCTCTTCGACACAACATCAGAGTCATAAAATAAAACAAATCTCAAAACCCTAATTTTATGAACTCATAATGAGGTAGGTTTTTTTTTTTTTTTTTTAATTTTAATTAAAATGACCAATGAAGAACAAGATCCAAGATAGGTAAGTGCAGAAATGGTCGCCACCGCAGACGATAAAAAGATCGGCGGCCAAAATAAACCATCTCTTCCCGTCTCCACAGTCCGCCATTGAAGCCCTCTCTGTTATTATCTCCAGATCTTCCCTTTTCCCCTTTTAAACCGCCATTAAAATGCTTTCTTCCCGCATTAATCTCCCACCAACCCCACTTTCCACCAACCCCACCTCCCCCTTTCCCCGCTTTTCCCCAAACCTCCTCCCATCCGTCCGATCTAAACCCTCCGATCGCCACCGATTCTCCACCTCCGCCGCCATTAATGGCGTCTCTTCAAAACCCACATCTCTAATTTTCAACCCAATCCCCAAATCGAGCCTATTCTGCAAAAATCCCGTGGACCGATTTAGGGTTTTCCCTTCTAAACCTAACCTCCATGTCCCCGCTGCTGCTGCCGCAGACGGCGGCGATACCACCGCTGATTCCGTCTCCAGCAACAAAACACTTCAACTCGCCGTCGTGTTTGGGCTATGGTATTTCCAGAACATCGTATTCAATATCTACAACAAGAAGGTTCTCAACGTTTTCTCATTTCCATGGCTTCTCGCTTCGTTTCAGCTCTTTACTGGATCGATTTGGATGCTTGTTCTTTGGTCATTGAAGCTTCAACCATGCCCTAAAATTTCAAAGCCGTTCATAATGGCTCTCCTCGGCCCCGCTTTATTCCACACAATCGGCCATATCTCCGCCTGCGTTTCGTTCTCAAAAGTCGCTGTTTCTTTCACTCATGTCATTAAATCGGCCGAACCAGTCTTCTCCGTTCTGTTCTCTTCATTCCTCGGCGATTCATATCCAATCCAGGTCTGGCTCTCGATTCTCCCCATTGTTTTTGGCTGCTCTCTGGCCGCCATTACTGAAGCTACCTTCAATTTCGAAGGTCTTTCAGGCGCCATGATCAGCAACGTAGGGTTTGTGTTAAGAAACATTTACTCAAAAAAGAGCTTGCAGAGCTTCAAGGAGGTTAATGGGTTGAATTTATATGGCTGCATTAGCATAATTTCTTTGTTGTATCTGTTTCCTGTGGCGATTTTCGTTGAAGGGTCGAAATGGGTTCAAGGATATCATCAAGCAATTTCCTCCATTGGTAATGCTTCAACGTTATATCTCTGGGTTTTGATTTCTGGAATCTTTTATCATCTTTATAATCAATCTTCTTATCAAGCTCTTGATGAAATTAGTCCATTGACATTCTCTGTTGGGAATACAATGAAAAGAGTGGTTGTGATTGTAGCTTCTGTGTTGGTGTTTAGAAACCCAATTAGGCCTTTGAATGCTATTGGTTCTGCTCTTGCCATTTTTGGGACTTTTCTGTACTCTCAGGCGACGTCGAAAAAGAGTTCTAAGAAGATTGAGGAAGGAGAAAAGAAGGATTGAAGAACATGAACATGAACATGAACAAGAAGAAGCCATTGTTGGGGTTGGATGGAGTGATGGAATTCATTTTTTATGCTCATTTTGCTCTGTTTTCTCTTGTGTTTAGTTCAGGAATGACTAATAAAATCTAGATTTTGTGAGTTTTAAGCTATGAAATTTAGTTGCAGCCATGGTTTTGTTGAGTTATGGATCGATCAAGCTCTGTTCTGTGTTTATCTTCTGTTTGAAATTTATGGGTTTCTGAAGGAACTTAGGCAATTTCAGAGTATTAATGCCTTGATCAATGGAGTTTTGTCAGTTTTGAAGCTGTGGCTGATTGAATTTGAACTCATAAAGCTTAGTCCAAACCAAAATTTACCCATTGTTGTGCCTTATTTACGTCTCATTTGTGGTATCAATTTTTAGACGTGCGAATTGTATCGGTTTTTAGGTTTGTTTGAAACTTTGGCGGGAAGGACCCGATGAATCTAACCCAACTTTGGGAAGGACCCGATGTATCTAATTCAACTTTTGGATTGAGTTATCAATTTATTTGAGTTTAGTTTGGTTGAGTTGATTGAAGACTGAATAACTTGATGAATCTAACCCAACTTTCGAGTTGAGTTATCAACTTTTTTGAATTCAGTTCATAGTTTAGTTCGGTTGAGTTGATTCAGGAACGAAGAACTTAAGGAATCTAACCCAACTTTTGGGTTGAGTTTTCAACTTGTTTGAGTTTAATTGGGTTGAGTTGATTATAAGAACTTAACGAATCTAACCCAACTTTGAGTTGAGTTATTGGGTTGAGTCGATTCAGAATCGAAAATCGAAAAACTTATGAATCTAACTTAACTTTTGAATTGGGTTATTAACATATCTGAACTGAGTTGGGTTGAGTTAGATCATAACTTTTTCTAAAAAATGGACTAATTCTAATTTATTATTAATTAAAAAAAATTGCTTATGATATAATTATATATGCATATTTATTATTATTTATTCATGAACAACTCTCAAAAATAAGATTTTTAGTATTTATAATGTAATTTTTCAAAATATACTGAAATTAACTTATAAATCTTAATAGTAGATATTTTATATATTAATATTTTACTTTTATTAAAAAAAATTAAATCAATTATTCGAACCACAAGAATTGATAATATTTAAAATAAAAATAATTTTGTAAAAAAAGAATGCAATACTCAAACTAAAATATGTGTCGGAAGAAATTAGTAAATAAAATTTAATATTTTTAGAATTATTCTTATTATTATTTTCTTAAAACTTTTTTTTTTTTTTTTTTTTAATATTCGTTTTGAACGACCCCTCATTTACGTCCCTATCTCAAGAATTAATGAACTGAAGAACGTACGACTGAGGGTTTCATTCTCCGCTTGCTCCGGTTTCTTACAGGTTACGAAACAAGAATCTTCCTCTAACCTTCTCTTCCACATTTTCGTTTCCGATCAACGAGTACCGACCGGAAGAAAACCAGAAAAAGTGCAGGAAATCGGAAGTAAATGTGAGTGTTGATTGCATTGCGTCTTCTAATCTGTTAGTTTTTTTTTTCCGATCATCTAATCATGTATTTTATCCGATTCTCCCCTTTCCGCAGTCACATTTGGATTTTGCAAGTGATTTGTACTGAAAAGAGGTCTCCAGATGCAATCGCAGGAGAAACCTCCGCCAGAGCCTACAGAAATGCAGCCGCAAAATAGTAGAATTTTGCCGCTCTCAGGAAAACCCTACCATGGCGTTATTCTTTCTAAGTCGCATGTCGCTCCCATATGTAATATGGTAAGTTCTCGCTCTCATGGAAATCACTCAGAAATTTTAGAACAGTTATAGTTATAAACGGAATTGGTTTGTGTGCTTGCATTGTCAAAACCACTAGATTTTACGGCCAATCCAGGAAGTATTTGGCTGGTTTGATCAGCAATAGTTTTGGTATCTTTTTGACTTGCAAGATTAGCAGTGTGAAAACTATTAGAAAACCAGTTCATAATAAAAGTTTTGCAAAAATAAGTGTTCGTTTAGTATTTGATTTTCCTTGGAAGAATTAACTGAAAGATTGTCATTAACTTTTAGAATCATTCAATCTCATGATTATTAGGACTTGACATTACCAAATTCTTGGCTACTGCCAGAGGCTCAAATCAGCCTATTTTTCAGCATATATATGACATGAATCAGCTTAATTGTAAGAGACTATCATATCTTCATTTGTAGTTCTTGCCAGCCAAATTTCATTCTGTTTTACCTGCTATTATGATCCCTGCGGTTCTTTACTGTGAGGGAAAGAAATGGAAGATCGATTATTATGGGAATCGACGCGGTAAAGCCCTTGACACGAAACAGTGGAGGAAATTTGTTAATGATAATCATCTCAAGTGTGGAGATGCTTGCGTATTTGAGCTAATAGAATGCAGCAGCAGCGTAATCAAGTTCAGAGTTCAAATTCTCAGAGGCGACATCCCTTTTGAGCTGCACGAAAAGTTCAGCGGGGAATCTAGAAACACTCCTATACTCATTGACTAGCTAGCCCCTTCTGTGGTC